ACTCTTATGTCTTTGAAAGGTACTCCTAGATACACCTACTTTTCCTCTTCCTGAAATGCTTCTCACAAAACCAGCTCATCTAATAGTTTCCCCTAATGTCACAATCCAGCAGAAAATTACACCACTTATTGGAAACTAGGCCTTATTTTGCTGCAGGAGGAGGAAATCTAAAGCACAACTGATCAAACAGCCCAATACTATTATACTCAATTTTTAGATACAGAACCCAAGATTTGAAAAAATAAGATCATGTAACTCAGCCTCAGAAACAGGTTATTTTATCGAATTTTCTTGGTCCTATCATCTGAATCTTCCAAAAGATTCATACCAATCTTTTGGAAGACTGATACCCCTGCATAATTCTGAGAAGCACACTGAGTCCTCTGGAAGGGCTCAAAGGGACAAAGTAACTACCAGGCAATAAGAAAAGAAACTATACCACTAAAACAGAAACCCACAACTAAATCAAAATTGCTTTGTTCCTGTAAGAATGACAAAATGTTCCTTTTCACATCTGTGCAACCCTCTACAAAAAACAGTGTGCTGACTAGCTAATTTATAGGCAGCCATGACCTTTACCAGGTCAGCTATCAACTTTGTATCATGTACATTTCTTGTATTTTAATAACAGCATATATTTCCATGGTGCATTCTGCTATTATGTCATCGATGTACACAAAAATCAAAATTCCTCAATGAAATTTTAAATTCCTTAGATGAAAACATTAAAAATTATTAAAGCATATTCTATTTTTCAATATTTCATCCATTATTTGTAGAGAATGGCTAGAAACCACCAAGACCTTCCTGTGACATATATTTTCTGTATTTGCAAGATCAATGCTAAAGGGTATGTGCTAATTCCCTAAATTTATCTCAGCCCTATCAGAAAATAGTAACCAACAAATTATTGTAACCATAACACAACTTTCCCTTTTATCCCTTTATATCTCAATTTTCCCATATCTATGCCTCTCCAAACCACCTCGATTCTCCACCTCTCCCCAGTTTTGGTTCCTCCTCTAAAAATCCCAGAAGTCTTGCATGATTCCAAAACTCTTCCCCTGCACCCCATATCAAGTCTCAAATGCTGGCAGGCAGCAACCCTACTCAGACTGCAGAGTCATCAAAGTGTCCCTTACTCCTGGTGCTGGCTGTCTCCACCCTGGCCCATGGGGCTGAGGCTGGTGACAGCCTTTGAAGGAGTTGAGTTGGGGGCTCCATTTCCCAGATTGAGTTATTTGGGTTCCCCTGCCTACTGAGCCATTGGGCTCCTTTGTGTGCATCTGCACAGGCAGTTGAGTTTTTATCACACAACTTAACAGAGTCTACTCAGGCTTCCCTTTTTCCACCCACTTATCCCTCTCTGAAAACATTCTGTTTCTTTCCCCCCCTCCTTTTTTTAATTTTTGTTTTTTTAAAACGGACACAATTACTGGATTTACACTCCTTTGTATTACAAGTGATTAATGTACTGATGAATTCCACACCCGATTCTTCATTATTTTGTAAGCAACATCTCAGTGGGCCTTTCTCCCAAGGCTTCTCAAACTGTGCTCCAACCATATGCCTTAAGCAAAAGTTTAATGGTTTCTCTGCTGAGCATGACATTTTTGCAAGCTTTTATACAGAATACAATCAATTTGGAATATTAACTGTGGCTTTATTGAATTTATCCTAACATTTGTTGCTCACTTCAAAATACTTGCTGAGATCACATACAAAACACCGGAACAAAGGGCAAAGTCATATCATGTAGAGTTTTAACCACACCACCTCATCTTGTTCTTAGTTTTACATGTTTGAGCAGAGTAAAGACCACTTAGTGCAGTAATATGCCCCTTTAAAATATTCTGTATTCGACACAAAACAAATCTGATTTAATATGCTCTCCAAACACTGCTTTTAATCTCACACAAGAAAAAAGAAAACTATTCCATGTAGTTTTTTCCTACAGTTCATGAGTGAAAGCCATCATTTCCATTTGTACTCTTTTCCTTGAAGTGTACATCACCATGAAGTGTTTGTGACTATTAACTTTTAAAATAACCTATGTACTTTTATTCACCTTATTTCTATGACAAGAGACCTCACAGCAAGGATGGAATAACAATATGGAAACTAACCATCTAATCCAACTGGACACACTTTATTGAAGTACTATTACTTCCATGTGTAAGAGGAAACTAAAGCCAAGTGCAATTGCCAATTTTTGGCATTATCAGTATAGACTGTATCCAGCAAAAGAGAATTTCACTTTTTGTTTTTATTTTTACAGCACAGTGATATTAGACATATGGATTTGACCATTTAGAGATCAAGTTTTTTAACTGAGCAGGAAAGGCAAGGTCTTTATTATGCATAAAGCAATACTGTTCCTTAAAAAGTTGTAATGCTTTGTAAATATTATTCTAATATCTCTTGCAGTATTGTCTTTAAAGTAACTCATATCAAAATTTTAGTATGGATGATAGAATCTTCAAGAATGGATATACAGAGTAACGAGAATGCAACCAAAACACAGACTCGAGTCAACCCATTTATATGAAAGAAACTTGTCATGTATAAATTCAATCCCAATGAGTTATATTCCAGTTTATTCTGAGGGAGCACATGTGACAGATTAACTAATATTTCTCAAGACAGAAAGCCTAGTTTCCTAAGAAACATGAATATAAAATTATGAGCAACTGTAATAAAACAAATATTATCTTTCAATATTGACAGACATAAATAGTTCTTTACTAAAGCATTTTAAACTTTGTTTTCTAAATAAGAGATAATTGCCAAGATATATCTCTGATATGAAAAATGACACCAAGATGGATCAATTGGGTAAGTAGCTTTGTCAGTGGAGGTGTGAGGAGATTAAAAACTCATGTTGTAGTTTAGCAATATATTGGGCATCCCATGCTCTTGCAATTATATTTACTGACAAGCTTTTTTTCTTTTCAGCTCACCTTTTTCTTGAATACATGCTTTCTTTTGTTGTATCAGTAAATTATGACATCGCTAAAGGGCTTAGAATAGTTTTCTCCTCAAATGTAAATACTAACTTAAGACACTAAAAGACAGCCTCTTTTGGTTATTTCACATTTTTGTTAGAATTTTTAAAATATCACTTTCTACACTCACATTTGGCAGTACCTTGGGACTTAACTAATCATAGTTTAATCGAAGAGAATAAGTATTAAAGAAAGGAGGTCAAAAGGCCATAGGCAGGGACAACTTCCACTAGACCAGGTTGCTCAAAGCCCCATCCAACCTGGCCTTGAACATTTCCAGGGATGGGGCATCCACAACTTCTCTGGGCAATCTGTGCCAGTGCCTCACCAGAGTCACAGTAAAAAATTTCTTCCATATATCTAACTTATTTTCCTCTCTTCCCCTGAACTTCTCCTCTTTCAGTTTGAATCCATTACTCCTTGTCCTGTCACTACAGTTCCTGATGAAGAGTCCCTCTCAGCTACTGGAAGGCTGCTGTGAGGTCTCCATGCAAACAATATTTGGTTCTTAACAGAGAAAAACAGAAAAAATGAATGACCTTAATATAATGATGATAAAATTAGTACAACTATTCTTTAAAAAAAGTTGTACCACAAAGCTCAAGAAACATAGTTTTCTGATTCCTTATGCACATTTAATTTAAAATTACATTCCCAAAATTATTAACTCTTCCTTCCTACAAAAAGGCTGATTCCCAAGCTTTAATTACTGACCATACAGTTTATATTTTATGAATTTTAGAATCTCATGTCTCTCTAGTCCTATAATTTAAGAATTCTAGAATACTCAGAAAATAGTTATCAGGTGGTGATGGGCACATTTAGTTTAATGTTTCTATAACCCAGTGTCACTGGTGTGCACAGGAAAGAAATCAAGGTAAGGGGAAAATCTGTATGCTGGTACAGATATAAAACACAACAGAAAGCTTTAAAGGACTTTTAAGGAAGCCTAATGCTCCAGATATAACTGGTACTGATGCACAGCCTTTCAAACCTGTTCTGACCACACAAGCTCAACACGTGTGTCAGTACCTCAACTACATACGAAGAACTTCTGCAGAATCCTTTCTTTTAATCGGGTCTCTGAACACGATGTGTAACCCCACATTATACTGTTCTGGATCTGAGTGCTTTTTCTGTGTCTGATTTCAACATTGCTAGAATGTATTTTTAAGAAGTTTTAGGGATAAGCATATGAGGAAAAAAAAAAGTAAATTAAAACCAGATTATACATAAAGATTTTTCCTCCACATCTGACAGTGCATTCTCCCTGCTTTGTAGTGAAAGTTAAATTTCTAGCTTAGCAGGCACTATGCACAGTGCCTGGTAGGTAGATGATTTCTCAGCTGTTCAGATAAAGCAAGGTAGGCATCCACAAAACTGAAATTTAATAAAAATGCAAAACTTTTAATGTAATAACAAGCATTTCTTCTATAAGTAAACATATCCAGCCATGCAGAACACTTAAAAACAAATAACCTCTGTACCTGAACTGTGGAACTGATTTCAGATGCAAATCCTCCTGTCAAGGGAGCCTCATGGCTAATCAGCAATCGCCCAGTCTTCGCCACTGACTGAAACAGAAAAACAAACCCCCAAAATGTCATCAAATTACAACTCCTTTGATTTCTTACTTGTTCTATTTGTGGAACATATGAAATATGGGACATTATTAGCAGTGTTAGAACATAGTTACTTTTCCACTCTTGCATTTCCAGTGAAAGAAAAATTATCCTAAAAGACTAAATTGAGTAATTAATAGGATGGTTTTGTATTTACTACAAAAAATGTTTACAATTTCCATTCAATTTTAAGTAAATATCAAAAACAAAAATTGAATCCGTTGTATATAAATTTACACTATTAATGCAAACTGTAACATTTCTGAAATAGAATAAAGGATTTTAACAAGTAGTCCATAAAAACTTGAATCCTGTAAATACTCAAAGATACACATACAAAGAAATCCTTCACTAATATCTCTGCACAATCAGTTCCTATATTCCTATGAATTGTAGCTATTCAGAAAGTAAAACTGTTAAATAAAAATTTCAGCAAGGAAATACATGGATTACTGCTCCTTATTTAAGTTTTATGTGGCAATTAGAAGCAACATTTTCTAATTTTACATCTCAATGTTTGTACAATCTTTACGTGATCTACTTTACAAATAAATATATAGCATACAGAAGGTGATCTAAGCATCTTTAATCAAAAAACGAATATGTCTTCATTATGCAACATAACAATGAAAGCAAAATATTTTTAATCTGATGGGAATATAAAGCTTCACAACACTCAAATATCTTAATGGTTATTGCAACTACACACTAAATTGCCTAGAATCAAACAGTATCAGATACCTTTGGTCAGAAATATGGCAGCAAAGTCTCCAAGGTGCATTAAAAATTTTCATAAACTTTTAGACATGCACATCAGCAAAAATCAGATTAATATGTATGTTAATCTTTCAAGAACAGTTACAGTCTGATATTTAAGATAAGTACATAGTGTGCTGCTGGTGCACCATTAGTCATCAAGTGGAAAAGCCCAAGACAGCACTATCATATTAGATTTTCTGAATACTGTGATCTTCAGTTTAATGTCTACACCAGCACAGTCTCCAGTTGGGCAGCCCTGTGTCATCTGTGTAATAGAATACATAAAGACAATGCCTTAATAATGCAGCTTTCCCTCTGATTCAATATTTTTCTAATTCTTTTGCTCTTCTAACAATGACTCAATCAGTGGCTCAGAGCAGCTCATCCACAGATGTGCTGGCAACTCACAGGCTACAAACATGATCCATATACTGTACTATGAAGTGGTTTGACAACATTCAGAGCTAAACAAGACAGAAAAAGGCATTTCAACACTTGGAAAGTAATCCAGTTACATAGGCTGATTTCTCTCTTTTGCCAGCACTGGAAACTCATACCGAAACAGCAGAGGCATTACCTGCACTGTAAATCTGTCCAATACATCAAAACACTTCAACGAACAAAACGTATGCTCCAGTTTTAAGTTGATATGATAAAACTGATACAATCAAGTACAAGTTGCTATGGTAAAACTGATACAACTAATCAATGTAAAAGTTTGGGGGGTTGTTTTTGTTTGTTTGTTTTTAAACCCTCCTACTATCATTTTAAAGAAAGATTCTGTTGCATGTATTTATTCCGAGAGGTTCACATTTTTGTATGTTACAAACTGTCATTAAAGTTACAGATTTCATTTTTTAGAATATAGTAGTATGAAACAGACACTCTTAGAAAGCATATAGGAAAATTCACACATGATCACACCAGTAATCCAGCAGTCCAGCATCTTATCTCTGGAGATAACTCAATGTTTAGGGAAAAGTAAGAATAGGGCCTTCAGTGTGTTCCTTCACTATGTCTCAGCCTCCAATTATTTTCACACCACCAGTTTCCCGAATCCAATATGGTCTCTTGCAGTAAATAACTTGTAACTTTTATTTCAACTGTTCTCAAACTGGAGCCACGTACAATAAAAACAAAAAACCAAACATAGCAAAAAAACAAACACCACACAACAACAACAAAAGAGTAAAAAATAATCTCTTTTTGGAAACCTGCCTCTACTACAAGATAAATCCTGGGTTTTATATACGATTCCCAAGGTCTCCAAGGACCCCTTGCCTGTAGGAGGTTGTTAAGAGAGAGCAAGCAGCTGTGATCACCAAGCCATGCATACAAATAGCTCAGTCTTGCTAGAATACAGTGTGTGTGTGTATATATATATATCTATACGTATATATATATATATATATGTATATGACTCCTGGTACAAAACCATGCTAGCATAGCTTCAGTGCTTTTAGTATCCACCCCAGCTGGTTCAGGGGCAGCATGGATACCTGCACCACATTGCAGAATACTGAAAAAAGAAATTCTTCTAATGGTTAAACCAGATTCAAAGTGAGCAGAAACGAACCACTATGCTGCACTGCAAATAGCGCTGTGGACTTTAAGTAAGGATGTGAGTATTGTGATTACTAAATTTACAAGCTCCCCACATCAATTTCTACTTTGCATTTACACCGTGTTCCTAAACTACAGTGAGTCTTTCAGAAAGACACACAATCTTAATTACAGTATTTCCAGTGTTTGCAAATGCATCACACCTCTTGGTAAGTTCTTCCAGTGCCTAACTCCCTTCCCTGTACAATTTTGCACTTTATTTCCAAACTAATTTGGCTGACATCAACTACAAAGCTGTTGATTCTTATTTTATCTGTTGGCTAGAAGGAGACCCTATCTATGATCACATTTCTGCTCCCACATGAATATGTTAAGACTGTGACCATATGGTGTCAACCGCAATTTTGATCAGCTTAACAGCCTGAGCTCTAAATCTTTCAGCAAACAGCACATTTCCAATTCCTTCATCATTCTTACTCTACCCTGAATCATCTCCAGTTTCCTATGTCCTTCTTGAAGCACACCCATCTGGAACCAGCATTCCAGATTTTCTCAGAACACCACCAAATACAGAGATAATACAGCCTCAGTATTGCAGCTCTTAGATGTATGAGGCCTTTCAGCCAAAGCATAATAACACAAGTCCAGCTTTAACTAACAACTGTGATTCCCTGTTCTTGGGAAAGAGGGTTTTCTCCTTAAAGGATAATTGTTTCCTGGAATAAAGATGGAAATATAGTGTGCATTTATTATTTCAAGACACAACATTATATTTGGATGTGCTGAAAAACACATTGTGTGTCTGAGCCTAGCTCAGTTAATGAGCTTATCTTCTCTTTATCGGTAACTGAGTGACTATTTTATCTGTTTATACAGCTGTTTGTTGTCTCTCATCTTTTATCAGTAACAGTTTTAAATGTTTTCCATATATGTGATGGAAATATTAAAAAAACAGGTTCAAAATCCAACTTTGTAGGACCTCGGGACTTTAGTATTTCCATTCACAAACACTGCCCTTCTATGCCATACAGTTGAAGCCAGCACAGTACTAATGCCCTACTTCTCAAACTATGTTAATTTCTTTTGTGAGTGCTCAAACAACTGTAGATCATGAACTGTAGGTCATGTATTTCTAATTATTTTTTAATAGCTCCTTCTTCTTTGATAACTTCTTCTTCCTAGTTTATGGATCATTCTAATTGATCTGGTACAGGTTTTTTTTCTGTGGCAAAACTGTTCCATAAGGTATCAGACTAATAAATTCCTGGCCAAGAGGTACTTTAATTTAGCAAACATACTGGGTCTTTGTATGCCCTTTTAATTTTAATTATGTTATTGTTTTTTCTATCTTAATAATGACAGTACTATACATTAATAACAGTAGACAATAGCAACAGATGTGATATTTTTAAACAGAATTTTAAAATATACATTACAATTTTAAAAATATATATTACCATTTAGAAGCATTTCAGTCCATACAACTTAGAAGAAAGCCTGATGAAAAAAGCCAACATTTTCATACACTGGTAGTGTTCTAGAATGGCTAACTTATTCATTTCTGTATCTTCAAATGAAAATTTAATCTTATTTCCTGGAAGCAAAATAGTTAATCAGTTAAAAGTGAAAATTTCAAAACTAGCTGCTATGCATTCTATACAGCACAGCAGACATGGTTAATGATTATTTGCAGATATCAATGCTCTTCTGTAAAGAATTAATTTCATTTTTAAACTCTATTGCAAAACATTAGTCCCTGTTAGTTCAAACGAAGCCATAATTCAACCTCCAGGATAACCAAAGCCCAATGTTCAGAAAACTATTTACAGTCCAAATAATTGTAGCTCAGTCACATCATCAGGTAATGGTGTCCTCAACTTTCACAGTTAATGGGAAATATCACTGCAATAAAACTGGACAAAACAGTGCTAAATCAGCACAGTGTAACAAATTGGCCAGCATAGAATCCTACTGCTTTATCCTTTTTTAAAAAGGACTGTAATCTTTTGTTTGGATTAGCAAGAGAAAAGGACAGCCTTTCAAAGAACAATGTATTTTGTCCCCTCACAACCAGACACTTGCATTTCTGTAAGGGCTTGATTCTCCATTTCATCAGCATCTCTCCTCTGTCTTCCAAAATCCCAGTCTTTACACTTTTTCTTACCTAAGCATAAGATGAAAATTTTGAAATGCATTAAGATTTTGAAATTCTGCAGCTCATGTAGAGTGCTTTTGAAAATGTATTTTCAAAGAATATGGTATGGTTTAAGATTGGCACTGATAAAAATGTTCCTTCTGTACATCCACAACTAGAAGTTGTTGTTTTCTGGTCTTTGAAGTCCAGATATACTTCTGAGGGCACTAAGAGATTCTGTAGGTATACCGTTGTCTCAAATTAAATGAAAACAAATTTTTTTTGGGCCATCTTTAGTAACATACCATAAAGGGAAGTCAGAGGCAACATTCAGGCATTTAGAGAGCACAGCTCCCCTTTGTGTCATGGCCACTCTGCGCTTTCAGAGACAAATTCAGATGATGCAACCTTGGGTTTCAAAAGGGAAAGGTCCTACCCTGCTCAGAACCTCCCGTTCCCAGCCCATCCCTCACATCTCCTCAACACCCATGTGGCT